TCATTATGAATGACGAGGGTTTTGTGATAATACGATTTAAGACGATAGGGTTTGGTATAACATAGACTCAATCGGACTAAACAGGATGTTATCAAAGAATGGCACGTTTAAGTTGGTTTGGAAGGATCGCTTTTCTAGAACATTAATGTCCCTGGGTGAATGTCTATGGTGTACGTAAGTCATGTATAATTACAACTGACCCTAGTGTATTCACTAAGTTATGATAATTTTCTCACTAGACCTTAAACCTTATAAAGATTTCGTGATCTAATACGGACGAGAAAGTAATCACAGTTATGAACAATTACCAGTGTTTTTGAAAACGTACAAAAACGTTGCAGGGTCCTTTGATGCTTCCTTACACTCGGAGGTTAGGCTCCTCCGGTTTCTTCATTGTTCTTTTCTGTTGGGCAATCTCTTTTGAGATGTCCCATTTCGCCACATACGCAACACACTTGGACTATGCTAGCATTAGTAGTCGAAGTGATGTGTTGGGTTGGGTTCTGTATGGAGCTAGTTTCCCGGCCATTCATAATACCTGGACAATTTCTTTTGAAATGACCAGGTTCGCCACAATTGTAGCAAACTTGATTCATCCTTACACCAACAATCGAGGTGTTTGGCTATGCAGATGCCCTGTAGTATCGCCTGGTATGTCCTTTCCTGTTGCAGTTGTTACAACACTTTCCTACGTGGTGAAAGTTGCATTTCTCGCAACTTGGAAGTCTTCCAGCATATTGCCGCACTGGTGTTGGCACTGGTTGGACGGATATGGTAGTTATAGAAGTTATCTCGAGTTGTTGTTTCTTTCCAAGTTTCTGAGATGACTTGTTCTTCTTCTCGGACCAAAATTTTCGTTTAGCGCTCTTAGGTTTAGGGGCTGGAATGTTCTCTAGGACAGGCCCTTATTGATTTCCTGGTGTGTAGTTACAGCTTGAGGTGTGGAAGTCGTTCCGATTTCCATTTAGACCGTTAGCATTAAGGACAGCTAAAGCGGCTACTACGGCTGCTGTGATAGTAGCTTGGAATGTAGTTGAGTCCATCTGGAGGATTGGTGCCTTACTGGTGGATTGGTTCTGTTTCTTCGGAGGCATGATCTACTATATGTCAAGAAAAGAGTTGTGAGCAACAAATGTTGTCTCTGGATGAATCCTAAATATTCGTCTATGCATTGATATTTCCCGTTTTGCTACTGACTCTCTTTGATTCAACCCACATCCCCAAGATGTGGTCTTAGCAAGGATAGAAAAGATTTGAGTACACAAAGTTCACATATACTAGTATTAAGAACTTTTGTTTGCTCAACCCATTGGGTTGGCGGAGTAACTCTCCTATTTCTTCGGTTCCAGAAAGGAAGGACGAGTAGAGTGATCCTCTATCGATGATGGGTACTCCTCAAGTGAAATCCTAATTCGGTCAGTTGTCGCTCTATGTCAAGCAGACGTCCTTCATACCCTGACTGGCCGGTTTAGAGCTCTATGACCTCGGCTTGGGTTGTAGCTAACTCTCGCTGTAGAGCTCCATTGTCTCTTATAGTTATCCTGTGAAAAACTTCAAGATTGCGAATGTGGTCTATGTTGGCATCCGAATCTGCTTCAAGTTCCATAGTTCGGTGAAGGGTTTCCATAACTAGCCTCACATTGTGAGCCACTTGGTGTATCAGGGTTGGGAGGGACCTGTCTATAGGACTTCCTCAATCAGATTGTAGAAGTTATGGTTACCGTCGAATGAGAGGGGTTGGCCTTGCTTATGACTCCACCTATTCAAACTCCCTACCACATTGGCGTTGGATCTTGGAATCCAACTTGAGGGTTAGGAATTGACGTTGGGGTCACTTGGGGTAGGTTTTGGACTTCAGGTTCCGAGTCAGCCTCTTTAAGAAATGGTTCGACAAGGTCGTCGTCTAAACGAATTTTAGGGTTTCCTTCTGGCTCCGATTCAATCCGTCCTCCATCTCCTTGCTTGAGGAAGTACGGGTCGTTAGGGAGTTGGAAATCTAGTCATGCTATCTACGTGAGGTGGTGGTAAAGGGGTGGCTAATAGGTATTGAATCTAAAATGATCAGGAAAGAGAGGGTGGTAAGTCCTCTAAACTGAATTAAGAGATATGGAACAAGAGATATCTCATTATGGCAGATAGAGTGTTCTACTATGCGATAATATATAGAAAAGCTACCAAAGCAAGGGAATTTATCGCTAAAGGAAAACGAGTAGCAACACTTGAATGAGGATTTCTATAACGAAGTTGACTCTAGAAAATACTCCCATAGTATTTTGTGTTTTGCTGCGACGATGACTCATTCTTTGGATATTTGGTAAGTTTTAGGCCTGCTGCACACCACAGTCACTCCCAAGCACATGTTGGCCGTGTCTCGAATGAATATAGTTGATAAGGCTATATTGACCCTAGACACGACTACATAACTGCCTAGGTTTAACCGCAGTGTACAACACCCAATTACTTATGTTTTGTTCTATTTGTGGTTACGGATTCTGGTATGTAGGTATATTTGTAAACTTGGAGTAAAAATACTTATATTTTTAAAGTATACTTTTAGTTCAGAGCACATCGGCCCCTTAGTGTTTATAGTTGTATACCATGTAAGGTTTGGTATATTTAGTTCACTATAAACATGGGCTCTGATACCAATCGGTCACACCCCGAAACCGATGGCGGAAACGTTCCGGGGCGGAGGACATCATGTAAAGTATCACAACAAATGCACATAGCAAGCACAGTAAACACAACCATTACATTACATAGGAATATTTACATTTGTTTGAAAGCAAAGTAATACATGTTTTATATATACATCAGTTTGAACAAAAGTAAAGACGAGACTTCTATATGCTCCATCTTCTGATCGAAATACATGTTTAACGAGAACCTGAGAATACAAGCAGTTTTTAAAAATATTAGCATAAAGCTGGTGAGTTCATAAGCGGTTTGTTTCTGGTAAAAGAATTAGTTTCCTTTGGTTTTATGAAAAGTTGTTTCCCAAGAAAATCCCATATTTTCTTATAAAAGTAGTTTGGTTATTCATTTGCTAAGCAGCATGTTCATGAAAAGTAAAGTTATCCCACGAAAAACCCCTATTTTCCTTAAAAGTTGGTGGTTGGTTATCGATCCGGAATGAAGTGTACAAGTATCTACCATACTTGTATTCTTAAGTGAAGTTTCCCTGAAAGCTTGGTTATTCTTGAGAAGTACGTCAGTTTTAACACGTATATAAAACTAATAAGTAGGTAGTAAACTAATTCCTAAGGGTATTACTGATACCCTCTAGTAATCAAAACAATTATTACTTTGAGGTTAGTTCACTAAGTTTATAACTACTAAAGTAAATCTCCATTATCTAAGTTGCGAGTTCCATAACCATACAATAAACTAGATATGGCTCGTAATGGGGCCAGTATCATTTTATGACTTTTGTCACTTGTGGACCAGTCGGTCCCACTGTAGCTAGTAGCAAGGTGCGAGGTAGTCAATCCCGTATAGATCTATACACTCAAGTCACATTCTCCCTCCAGAAGATTCTGGTTATAGGGGTAGTCCTACACTCTCGTATCTCGGGGGAGTGTTACCAAGGATGTGTCTCCAATCTTAAGATTAATGAATTTTAAAAGTAATAATACAGAAAATCCTGTTTTATTGGTCCTTCACTCTCGTATCTCTGGGGAGTGTTACTATGGACGTGTCTCGAATTCTAAGATTAACAAATTTACAAGTAATGATATGGAAAATCCCGTCTTATGAATGTCATGAAATCCTTTGTGAAATATAAAATATATCATTTTATAATGAGTTTCACAAGTTTTCCTTGTTTTAATTTCGAAAACAAACTCTACAAGTTAAATGCAACACGGTTTTTTGTGTGAAAATCATACTGAACATCTAACATTTCATACGAAATAATAAGTTTTGAGTACAAGATTCCTTGTACTTTTTCTTGTATTCCCCCATGAAAACTTGAAAAACACGGAAAAAGGTGTAGGGGTATGAACTCACCAGACGAGAATGTGTCGGGTAGGATGCTAAGTGTCAATTTAGGGCTTGAACACGCGTGAGGATCCTATGTAACATGAAGTGATACATAATTGTATCTAATTAGACATTGAACCACTAATTAAGTAAGATAATACACTACGATGCGCGAAAACACTTTATCTCAAGTGTTATGAATGATACGGGTTGCATCTAAGGAGTGTAAGGCCTTGATAAGGAGTTTACTCTTCAAGTGGATGACTTCTAGAGGTGTTTATAGCCCAAAAACCACACCCCCATGAGTTTACAGCCGTAAACGCATGGGTGGAGTGTTTTTGGTTGCTCAAAGGTCTTATATCACTTGGGGAATTAAGCTAGGTTCAATTCTAGGGCATAGGAAGTGACTAGGGCTTCAAATTTACCATTTAGGGGAGTTCACGGTTGTAAACATAGAAGTTCCACTCACCCTTATATAGGGTTTTTCGATCAAAACTGACTTGTAGAGAGAGAGAGTAGAGAGAGAGAGAGAGAGAGAGAGAGCTATGAGGAGGTGAGAAAAGGCTCAAATGAAGTTCCACTCACCCTTATATAGGGTTTGATTTTGCGGCTCGGTGGGAATCTACCCGATCTCGATGTTAAACGGGGTTTATGGTCATACCCGATTAAATGGTCGTAACCCGACGTGGTCGTGAATTAGAAACTTTTCAAAGGAATATCAAGGGTGTTTCACGTGTTTCTAATTCATTCCGACACTTATGAAGTCATAATAAATGTCTCAATTTAATTAATCTATTTCAAAATGTTAACGGAAAATTTTAATAAAAACTAGTTTTATTAACAGAAATGGGTTACATTGACGAAATAAAATTCAGGTTGTCACACTTTAACCCTTACAATTTCATTCTTTTTTTATTCTTCATTCCTCCACCGCCTGATCCCTCTTTGTATTTGTATTTTTACATTTGTTTTTGTCGGTGGAATGTCCATGTGTTTCTCCTCTTTGGTTTCCACGTGTTATGTTTGACCGTTTACTATCTGATACCACTACCTCGCTGTCCACTCAAGTTTCATCCACCGCTTCCACTGTCTGCTTTCATCTGCTTTTCTTTCTTCATGATCCCTTCGTCTCAGGTAAACCTGAAAATGGTCTCTCCATCACCGCCCTACAGGCGATCGCTCACCACCAACTCTGCCTCTTTAGTGACCCTTCTCCAACCTTCTTCTACACCGATCCTCTTCGTTCACATGATGCTCTCTTCATAAACCTAAAACTCTTTTTTGACATCGATTGCATCTCCCTTCTGATTCTTGCGCTTCTCTCTCTACACCTAGAAAAAATTCATGTCATCCCTCATACAATCTACTGCCCACCACCGCTATCCCTACCATTTTCTCGACTTAAGACATCGAGAGCAAACCACCAGCCACCACCAACTGTTGTTGTTTCTGGATGGTTCTACCGTTCCAACTTCTCTACGGTACTCTTAATCGGCTTCCTTGACTCCACCAGCGTAACCACCACTTATAATCGGTCGGTATCACCGCCTTCGGTTCCTTCAGTGACGGTGGGTTTTCTCAGTAAAATCAAATGCTGCTGCGGTTTTGAACCCTGATATTAACTAAGGTAATATTCAAATTGGATTGTACCAACAATCCTATTGCATTCTTTTCTTAGGTTTTGAACCCATATTTAATTTTGCACTTCTGCTTTCTTATGTTTTGTATTTATGTTTTAGGTTGATTTTGAAATTCACCCTTCATGTTGTTAAGCTTCAAAACTGGTTGTCTCCTATATTTGCATTGAATTGCAGGATTAAAGAAGGAATTAGATGTAGTCGAACAATGTTAGCACTTGATCACCTTTAACAAATAATATCAGATGTTGTGATTTCATGGAATTTCCCTTTTCCCGTTCTTCAGGTTAGGTCATTATGTGATAAGGCGAAAGAGATCCTCATCAAAGAAAGCAATCTTCAGGTATCTTGTCATTATCATTCCCTAATACTTAACAATACCAAAAATGTGAGATTAAAGAATTTAGATCTATTTCTTCATGTCTTTTGCAGTCTGCTAAAAGCCCAACAAGAATCTGTGGGGATATTCATCTGCAATTTCATGATCTTGCAGAGCATTTTAGGATTGGTGGAAGGTGTGTGTTGTGTAATGATATGATAAATTGATATGATATAACTTATAAAACCTAATTATGTTGTTCTTTATATAATACCCTGATACAAATTATTTATTCAATTTGTCTACGTGTGTGTGTGCGTGTTTAATTTAGGCGGAACATTTTCATGCCTTTGCACAAATGGATGATGAAAAACTGATTTTGGATAGTTACTCAAAAGGAAAGCTTAGACTTTGATTACTTTGATTTTTTTTAAAATATTTTTTGATTTGTATCTATATTGTTAATATCCATGTTGGACAATTGTCAAAGATCATTTAGTCATAAGGTGGTTCTTGGTAAGAAAGATCCGAAAAAAAGCTACTGGTATGCTTTCTTTCAGGTCTTTTTTTCATATAAAAAATTTAGTTCATTCTCTTAACTGTCCAAATTTTCATCTTTAAGAAACTAAAAATATTGTTTTAAAATAGGAAGGCTGATTTCAAAACTACAATTGCAACTCCAAAATGATCTAATTAGGCGAACTGAATCTTAGGATAAGCAAAGAAAAAACATTCGGTTTCTAAAGGGTAAAAATTTGAGATCGATATTTTCAGATTTTTTAAAAAATCCAGAAATAATTATTGAGTATCAGGGGTTGCACTATGATGATGGAATTAAAATTAAATGCATAAATTGTGATATAGTTTGAATTGCTTATTTGTATGGATTAATTCAAACATAAATGATTAAAATATGTGGAAATTTTTTGTGATTGTAATATTTAAACTGAGAATAAATATATATTACTATGTTATACAAAAGTGAAACTGTATTACCTAAAATGAGAGTTTACCATAATTTTCATATAGTTTGGCATATACTCATCAAAGATTGTAGGTTTTTCTCAAATTTTTGTAACATTTTATTATTATGGTTTATTAACATCTTGCATGGCAGCAACAAATGAAGGCACTAACAACACTTGACTACGGTGGTTAACGTAGAAAAAGGCATTGACTCCAAGCCCTTCACCCGGTCAGCAAAGGGCGTTAAGGTAATTGGCTGTTTCAGGGAGCATTAAAACTACATGGATGTAACTAGAAACAAATAAATAAGATAGGAAACATATAAAATCACATAAATGGTCTTTTTATTAAAAAAAAAGATTACATAAATGGTTTGTATGTGAAAGAAAATGACAATGTACTTTTTTAGGAAACATTTATATTATTGAGCTCTAACATACTACAGTTATCTCTTTTCAGATCATCTAAAAAGAATATCAAAAAGGTCATAAAAGTATTGTAAATGACTTTTATGAAAGTATTTTTTTGAAAATTTCCAGAACAATTTCCTAAAAGAATCACAACAAGTTATTTTTCTAAAGTATGATGCTATTAATTAATATTTTTGAAAGGTTTAAAGCTATTAATGAAATTTGTTTCAAGAAAAAAATCCTTTAAATTAGCTTCAATAAACAATAAAAAGGTAATTGTCAGTGTCATTCAAAAATAATCCAATAATGATGAACTTTCAAAAGGACAAAGCTATTTAATAACTTTTTTTTTGCAAGTTCAAAACTAAAAACATTTTTTTATAGGAAACTACTTTTAAGAAAATGATATGGAATTCACAAATTTACACTACATTGATGTATATGGAAATAAATAAATACGATAGGAAACCTATCATATTACATAAATGGTTTATATGTGTAAAAAAGTACATATATGGTCCATACGTGAAAGAAATTGACAATGTACTTTTCCAGGAAACTTTTAAGTTAATAGAATTGTATTTTCGTACAAAACTTTAAAAAATTTCATCTCATCAAAAAAGAATCCGAAAATTGTTCATTTTTTGAAAGTACAATGCTATTAATGGTATGGGTAATAAAGGAACACAAAAACTAACATCTGATATAACACATCTGTTTTATTTCGATTTATTTCCCTTATTTTTGGAATTAGACTGTTATTTAAAAATTAAGAGAAAGTGTTTGCATATACATTTCGTATATACACGAATTTATACCAAATATATGTAATTGTATTTAAAGTTTTTGCAGTAAATAATTTTGTGGGGATAAATAATTGACTTATTCTTAAAAAGCTTAAGGGCATTATGGTCTATTCACAAGAAGAGAAAATAGATGCGGAGCAATGGCATGTCTACAAAAGAGTCTTTTATTAATAAAAATCTTTTATCAATAAGGGAGATTTCACAAATATATCAATCGAGAAGCTCTTTTTTTAAAGTGGGACAATAAATGTTGCAGAAGTTTGCTTGCATTATGTACCAACATACTTTACTATGACTAGCAATTGTGCTAATGTACTATAGTTTCATAGAAAATCGAAACCTTCCAACCCCGCAACGCGGGGGAAACACTTCTAGTTGGATCTATGTTTATAAATTGAAGCAACAAATATAAAATACAATGGGTTTGATGTGTGTTCACCTTTTTATATGCAAAAAGAAAACACAAAGAACCAAAGGAGAATCCTTCCATCGCACTTGTACCTAATGCGACAATCTTCAAAGCAAGAATACCTTCTTCCTTCTCATTGTCTTTTGTGATTTCTTAGGGACCAAAAAAGACTAAACCCTTACTTGTTGACGCTAGGATTTTTGCAAATATGAGGGAGAGGTAAGAAAATTTTGTGGACTTTGATGTCAAATTTCCCACCAAGCATACCTTTTAAATAACGTAGACTTTTATGTTAAAATTTCACACCAAGCAAACCTTTTAAATTAATGATATAATTATCTATAATAAATAGATAGTTACTAGTAATAATTAAATATGCCTAATTGAAAATTAAATCCCTCTTATTTATAGTCTATAATTAAACCATCAAATTATTGAAGAATAACAAACTAATCATTTTATTTGTTTATTCTCTTTTTAGATTGTACTTTGTGTGCAACTCAATAGACATATATATTTATTAGCAATGGCACTAACTTACTGTGTCAGTTTTCATATTTCTAACATTTACAAACTACTTTTTAGTTTATCAAATTCGAAAATATGAAAGAGGATCCAAAAGTTAGCTATTGCCTATCGAACGTAACCAAAATATGTTTTAAGTATGGTATTTTGGTCAAAAACTCTAAATCATGACCATCGTTGTCAATATGTTTTCACCATGTAAGTCCATCAATTATCCTTGTAACTCCATCAATTATTCTCACAAGTAAATGAGGGGCTCATACTTACATTATTTTTTTCAGTCATATAAAATATATGAAAATGTTACAGTGGAAATAAGTAGAACTTAAGAAGGCTTTTGATTTGCATCATTTCTTTTGAAAGGTATAGACATCTTAAGTTGATGTATAGATCTTGAACTAAATTTGTGTTAATTACTTTGTGTGTGGGGCGTGGGATGATCTAGACATCTTGAGTTGCTGAAGCCTGCCTTCTAATTAATCTACTTAAAGAAGATCAACAATGTGTAACTAAGTCAGCATTAGTCAATCCGAAAACTCTAAAAATAGGAAGTTGCTAAAGTTTAAATTTGAAGATGAATAAGGGTGCAAAAGGGTCAAGCTACTTGTGAGCTGCTTGGAATCGGCTCGTTAAAAGCTTGACTTGAAACCGATTTTAAACGAGTCCGAGCCGAGCTCGAACTTAATATCAAGCTCGTTTATTAAATGAGCTCGAGCTCGAGCGTATGTCACTAAACTCGATTAGGATCGCGAGCCTAAACGAGCCTATATAATATAATTTATTATTATTTTTATATATTAAAATAAAAAATATATATATATTTGGGGAATTAAGAATTTATGGTATAAGCAAATGAGCTTCTTAATGAGATCGAACCAAACTTAAGCTTATTTAGGCATGTTAGACATAAAACGAGCTGAGCTAGAGCCCGATCTGAGTTTGTACAACTTTTTACGATATCGATCCGAACTTAGTACAAAGAAAGCTCAAAGCGAGCCGAGCTCGAGCTCAAGCTTCGTATAACTTAAACGAGCTTGAGCCGAGCCTGACCAGGATCCGACTTGGCTCAGCTCGTTTGCACCCCTACAGATGAAAATCATAAGTTCCGCTTCCAAGATCAACTTAGAAGTAGGGCCGTCTTGGGGTTTTACAAACCCTGGCGAAAATATATAACAATGCCCCGTTGTTAATTTTACAATAGAGCAACAACTAACTAGTGTAAGGCATATATTTTTAAATCCACAATGTAACAAACACTTTTTTATTTAAGAACTAATATACAGAAAGCCCTATTTAGTCAAGGGAGGAACCATGCATATCTGTATGAAATCGTAATGTTTGTAAATTACAGTATTCTTTAGTGTATATTAACTTCAAATCTGATACACATCAATTCTGGATACACACATACACATGCAGCGTATTGAATTGGTCCATTCTGGATACTTATCTGTCCATGCAAATGCATATGTATCTCTAAAGTAGCATCATGCATGACGGTATTATTTAGCAATAACTTAGGAATTAATATTACATATGAAGCCATGCAACTACCCAAAAAAATTTGGCTGGATGAAACCACAGGTTATAATATCGTACACAAGAATTAATAACTTATCTTGGTCCGTATAATAAAATTAAGTACTATGCCGTGTGAAAAATACTTAATTTCCTTTAGATTGTTCAGGAAAACGGTATATGTATGTATATATATAGGCTTTCTGTTAGCAATCGTAAGCCTACAGACACGACCCTCTTCCCTTAATGTCAAGTATGCGAAGTCCACGTATCTCTAAAGTTTATATCCATGAAAACTCCCTGCTAATTCTAGGATTCTAGTCGATCTCTAATTAGAATACCCTCCATTAAAAAAATCACGTTCACCAACAATATTTTGGTAGCTTGAAGAAATTTCATACCAGCATCATGTTCATCATGAACCTCAACTTGAAAGAAATTATGTTCTTAGCCGTACTAATCATGAGTCTTCTTCTGTTATGTTTTTTCATGACCAAAAAACCTTCATGCAAAGTTTACTTATTAGATTTCGCATGTTACAAGCCTCCAAATTCTCAGAAGTGCAGTAAAGAGATGGTTATGAAAAGAGCAACAGACGCCGGATATTTCTCGGAAGGGACAATAGATTTCATGAGAAAAACTCTGGAAAGATCTGGGCTTGGTGACTCCACTTATTTGGCAGAGATCTTTTTCGAAGAATCACAACAGTATACCCCATCCATGAAACATTCGAGAAGGGAAGCTGAGATGGCTATTTTTGGATCCATAGATATGCTTCTGGCTAAAACAGGTGTAAGAAGTGATGATATTGGGATCCTAATTGTGAATTGTTGTATCTATAACACAATGCCATCTCTTTCTAGCATAGTAGTTAATCAGTATAAGCTTCCAGAGAATGTCGTGAGCTACAATCTTGTTGGCATGGGATGCAGCGCAGGACTTCTAGCAATAGGACTTGCTAAACAGCTCCTACAGGTGCACCAAAACACCTACGCTTTGATAGTGAGTACGGAGACAATTACCGAAAATTGCTACATCGGAGAAGATCTTTCCAAATTCATCATCAACTGCTTGTTTCGTATAGGCGGCGCCGCCATACTCCTCTCCAACCGCTCCTCCGACCACCATAATTCCAAATACCGCCTTCTTCACACCGTACACAACAACACATCAAGATCAGATCGCTCCTATAACAGCATATATCAGGAAGAAGACACCGCAGGGACAGTCGGCGTCACCATCAATAAATACCTTCTCACCGCCGCTATTGCCACCATCGAAGCAAACCTAACCGCTTTAGGTTACTTAATCCTTCCGATGACAGAGAAACTTCTCTACGTAGTAAACTGCATCCGAAACCTCCTTTCGGGATACAAAATCAAGTCTTACGTACCTAACTACGGCAAGGCCGTCAATCACTTCCTCCCTCACGTCGGCGGAAAGCCGGTGCTCGATGAACTGCAGAAGACCCTACGGTTTTCCGACGCCGTCATGGAAGCTTCGAGAATGACACTCTACAGGTACGGAAACACCTCCAGCAGCTCGATATGGTATGAGCTGGCGTACGTTGAGGCACAGGGTCGGGTCAAAAAAGGTGACCGGGTCTGGCAGATGGCATTCGGCTCGGGTTTCAAGTGCAGTAGTGCGATTTGGCGTGCAATGAAGACGGTTGATTATGATGACAAGAATCCATGGACGGACGAGATTGCTGGGTTCCCAGTGACTTTGGACGAATGTGAACCAATGCCGGTCTTTTTTGAACCTACCAAGAATAATTAATTAATCTTCCATTTTATATTTAGGCACTTGAATACTTCTCTATTACAATTTACACATACAATCTTACATTGCAATAATAAATCCTTTGTTTGTAAAGGAAATAATTTCCTTAATTTATATACGGTGAATATTAATGTTTCACTGATCTTTGTTTTACCTTGGTGCTAGGATGTACCATCAAAATGATTGTCATGATTTGATTTGTTAAATATCCATATTTCATTGTTTTTCTTGAACAGATGAAATAAAAATGAAAGTCTAGCAAATAATTCAACTTAACCAACTACAAGGGGTTTATAAGCCAATTAATCATATTGACCATACTCATAAAAGTTCTATTGCTAAACCAATTAAAATAACACAAAACAAAAAGTAGAATTTCAAAATCTCCAAAGCATCCAACACTTGGTGATTACAATAACTTGTGGTGTCTCCTTTTTCCATTGAAGCATTACTATATGGTTTAAAGATCAGATTAATATAGTAAACGGAGAGTCTCCATTATTGCTAATGATTGTGTACATTCACTTCTTCGCCTTCCCACAATCACCGATAGCACTTGAAAAACATAACTAACTGGGTAAGCATGAAACTTAGTGAGTTCCTACAAAATACATATACAAAAAAAAAATACATACAAAACATGCATACCGGGCCCATAGTCATTAAGATTGGATTGCCCCTGAGACCACAACCATAAAGACTGGATTGCCCTAGGTATGTTGGTTTGCCACCTCAACCCAACTGCTTCCTTAAGCCTCCAGCCCATAACGGGCTCCTCTCTCATGCCTACAACTTACAGCTGGCCTGTACCTGGTATATTGGCTTACAACACAAAGCAAGATCGCCTCAACATGACCCTCTTCAATATGTCTCTCTCTCTCTCTCTCTCTCTCTCTCTCTATATATATATATATATATATATATATATATATATATATATATATATAACCAAACAAGCAATCAAGTAACGCATAAGAACATGCAACTATCTACATAATTCCACCTGTCCAACAGCTTACTACCGCAATCTAGGCCTCTTCCAACACATTACGCTACTACCAATAAATATACAAGGAATACATAAGTATATGTAACCAGATGTGAGGTAGACATCCAAATAGTTGATCTCACTCTAGAGCCACAACCAAACAAAGAATAGACAAGAAAGCATAGATCAAAAGTTATCAAGTTATCCTACGTGAATACATATAGTCCCTAGGGTACCCATTAGACAAAAACCAACATGTTGGTACTCTAACCAGCATATATCACTATTCCTACATCTAATACACAATGATATATATATATATATATATATATATATATATATATATATATATATATATATATATATATACACACACACACACACTGCAATCTAGTAGGTTGGAATTGGTGCATTCGACCCATGAGTATAGTGAGGAAACTCACCAGAATCGGCGACCCAAGAAACTCCGCGACACGCTTACTTTCTACACTGCTTGCTCCCACAAACCTATTGTTGGATTAGGTTTCTAAGACAATAATTAAATTAGTATAATCTTGAATTATTATCAACGTCCTTTTAGGTTGCTCTCAAACCTAGTAATTGACTTGAATGCTTTTTGGAGAGAGAGAGAGAGAGAGAGAGAGAGAGAGAGAGAGACTGAATTATTAATTTATTATATGATTAATAAATTAATTAAAAATCAAAATAAATGATTAATTAATATATTTTGAGAACAATATATTAATTAGAAATATTATTGTTTAATTAAAAATTAAACAGAAATTAATTTGACTTAGTTTTATGATTATTTGGATTAATTAAAGGTAGAAGGACTATAGGTGACAATGTTAAAAATTTAAACAATGACAAATTCTAGAACCTCCCATAGAGGGTATAGTTTCTAGAGGTATTCTTGGGCTCCAATATGACATCCCCATTTTCACGGCCAGAAAATACCGATTTTGTTTATGCTTTATAAAAATCAGAGTATCTCTTTCAATAAAAACGTTGTGGAATTTGTTCCCAGAAAAACATGATAATTTCATTATCAAAGCATTTCCGAATAAATTTATTTTTATTCATTTTAAAACATTTTGGATGTCATCGTCGATACAGAAACATAAGCATAAACAGAACTTACATTCATTTACACTAGTGATCTATATCTCCTTAATCTCTCAGTGTAATGTAACTTCACATCGTCACTTGTGATACAAGTAAACTGAGTGGGTTAGGTTGGGAAACCTGGTGAGTACATAGGGTTTTTAACCCACAATAATATAATTATTATGTTTAATCATCAAACAATTAACCCATTTACCCATCCTCATTATCTTCTTTATTCCTAAGTACATTTCCTAAGGATTTATCATAAGGGTCGTCTCCTACATCATATTTACCTCTCATCTCCTTACATCGCATTTCCTTATATGTTTGTTCCTAAGGACTCTCCTTAAGGATCATCGCCTACATCACATAGGCAGTATTGATTCAGGGATTACTCCCTCAATACGTGCCCAACAAAGGTTAGGCCATCTTCAATGCATTGAACTCAAATGAGTTCAATGGATTGCCACATGTACATTTCACTCACAATACAATTTTACCTATTAAACTCTACACTCCATTAAACCCAATACAATTTAATGGATTGCCACAACATTTATATGTGTGTGAGAGGAGAGAGAGTGTGGAGCTCAATGGGGATTGAACTCCCCATTCTATTGAGTGCCATGTCATTAACCCACAATAAGGATTTTGAGTTTAATGGGATTAAACTCCCCATTAAATTACCATTGAAGATGGCCTTAGGGCATCATCGCATGAATACATAGTTACATCATCGCCTGAAATCGTAATTATAGTAAGGGGTTAGAATATCATCCTATGAATACGTAGTTACAACATCACCTGAACTCGTAATTCATCACCTACAGGTTATGGGACTGCTGGTGTTTCGATGGGGTTGTCTATAATAGTCCGTGGTCGCCATCTATACTCTGCTAGATGACTACATCTTCAAATTGTCGGACAAGGTTATAGTATCTTTCATCCTACATCACCGATTCATCATCACCTATCTGTCATCACCCAATTATCATCACCTATCTATCATCATTTTATTTCATCACACATCAACTATTTCATCTACCCATCTTTTATCCCAACATATTTGTAGATATAAAATAAATATATAGTTTAAATAATTTAAAACATGTATAAAAGCATTCATCCAGCATAGACAGTAAGTATCCAGATAATATGAACGCATGGCATGTAATTTATATAAAATATTACATATCTATGTGTAAGATGAAAGTAACTATACACTCACTTGTTAAAGTGATGATTCCAAACTCGGACAACGCTTCGCTTCTTAACAATATAATTTCCTTCGACGAAACCTATTATTATTACCACTAGATTTTAGTTTAATATTTACCGTGATTAATTATTAGTCTTACATTATTATTATTATAAGCATTTAAATAATATTTTCCAACCACTATGTACAGATAGGGGCCGGACATAAAACACCGGAGGGCACGATCATTTTGGCATTATTATTATTATTATTATTATTATTATTATTATTATTTATTATTATTATTATTATTATTATTATAAGCATTATTATTATTAGAAGCATTTAAATAATATTTTCCAACCACTATGTACAGACAGGGGTCAGTCATAAAACACCGGAGGGTACGACCATTTTGGCATATAACACTTCTGAAATCCAACAACCCTATGCGGCCTTTTAAACCAGATTCTCCATACCGCGAGTGGTTAAAAAGATATTATAACGACACTTATATAACTCATAATAATATCCCAAATAATTATTATAAGGCCCTAATAACATTAATATATTTAAATAAAATCTATATTAGAAATAGTGTAGGCGTAGCTCACTTGCAGCAGGATTTTATTAAAAAAATTGGGCTTCCCTGGAGTAGCGTTTCCGAGCCGAAAGCTCTTCTTCTCGGAGCCTTTGGGCGCTACGGGATTTCTTTCTCGTGCTAGGGAGGTTCCCTAGACTTGGGAGGGGTTTAGGGAGGCTAGAGAGAAGTTGGCTAATTCTCATTCTATCTTAGATTTACAAAACTGTATCGAATTCGCTGCGCTCAAAAAGTAGAGACTAAGCTTCGTCCATATCTTTCACATATGAGTTCCATTTTCATCTGTCTTTTTATCGTTTAATCCTATTAACGATATCATCATTTCGTTTTTTAGATTATTTTGGCTGAAAATCGACCGATCTACAATTTGAATTTTGGGTTATTCACTGTTATGCTAAATCTTAGAAAAATCATAACTTCCTCATACGAAGTCAGATTTGGATGTTATTTTTATGCACACTCTCAGTTTAACATATTCTATGACTTTCATTTAGATCACTAAGGCTAAAAGTTGCTCTTTCATAAATTCACTATTTACGTCTTTCCAGTGTCGTGTCGGTTCCGTCGCGAAACTTCGACGGGTCATAACTTCTTCGTTATAGCTCGGATTTCGGCGCTCTTTATATGTACGGAACACTTGAGACATATTCTGCAACTTGGTAAAGATTATTTATTATCGAAAAGTCTTTTTCAACCCCTATTATCTCTAAATTGACTAGCTCGGATCTACGGGCGTTACATCCAAGGAAGCTTAGAATGTCTGAGGTAGGAAACAAGAGGATTAGGGTTATATAAAAGGAACATGCATTATCCACTACCTTCCTATCACATATATAAACCCCATTGGGTTTAATTTTGGGTGTTCACATGCTTAATAGAGTCTCAAATCCAAAAATACTCCTTCTCCTCCTCCTCTCTCTCATCTTTAGCTTCTAATTGCTAGGGTTTGGGTGTGAGCTATTAGAGAAACGAGACTTCTGGACCTTTCTTTCTAAGGACCAATCAAGAAGGATTTTTTTTTATTTGCTATAAAAAACAAAAGGTGTATATTTTTAATAATCCTTTTCTTAATTTCAAAGATAGCAATGCACTTCTAGGGTTTT